CAGCCAGCCCCTTGGCTGCTGGGGTGGAGCAGGGCAGCTGCTTAACAAGCCTGGAGCAGGAGGGAGGAGAAAGCCGAGCTAGCAGAGGAGGTTGAGAAGGGCAGAACGTGGACACCTGAGCTGGAAGGCCATGTCTCCGTAACATTCATCACGCTGCCAGCCAGCCAGCCCTTTGCCTGATGGAAATGCAGCTACTTCTGGGGTGGAGCAGGGCAGCCGCCTAATGACCTTAAGCGTGTCCCATCCAGCCTGGTACCCAGAAGGAAGGGCACCCCCCCATGGGCTACACACCAGGGACACAGCCGGGCCTACTCACCTGGCAGCTCCTGTGATGGGGGAAGCTGCCCATCTCCTGCAAGAGGCAGCAGCAGCTGCAAGTCACTCTGCAGGTCACAGGCCCGGAGGCGAAGTCGTCTTGCCCCTGGGCAGCTCAAGGCTGCAGTCTTCTGCACCCAAAGGCTCCTCAGGAGAGCTGTTAGCCCATCTCGAGGGCTGCAGGGTGGCCACAAGGACCTGGGACTCAGCACGCTGGCAGAACAGGAGGGGCTAGGGCTCAGAGAAGGGGCTGCTCGGGACCTGGGGAGGCACATATATTGGGAGACACCAAATGCAAGACCCGCCCCATGTCAACCCCGTTCCATGATGCACCCCTAGCCCACATGGCCCAGGCATCCGTGCTGAAGAGCAGGGCAGCAGCAGGCCTCTGTCCCACGGTTACCAGCTCAGGGCCAGGGCAAGATTTACGGTGGAGTCAGAGCTGTGGGGCTAGTAGGGAGCTCCAGAGGTCACGTCTAATCCAAGCCTGGCTGGAGGCAGTATCAGCCCTGTCCAAACCAGCCCAGACACATCCATCATCTAAACTCTTCCTAAAGCTACCGTCAGCCCTGACGCAGCACCAGGCATCACACCCGAGCCTGCCCCAGGGAAAGCAGGGGGACGGCAGCAGCCAGCATCCTGCTCCTATAAAAGCTTGTTTCTAAATGCTCAAGAGAGACAAGGCAGAGGCTGTGCCCTCGCTGCAGAGGAAGGCTGTACTTACCCCTTCCTGCCCCCAATGCAGCATTCGTCTGATCCCAAGCACAGGGGCAAGACCCTCTGGAGTCGGTCATGGTAGCACATAGGTAGAACTATGTCTAGATTAGCCTTAAAACAGTGTCCGGGGTGCATTTTAACCTGGTGCATCTGACAGCAAAATGCAGCAGGACGCAGCTGCAAATGGGTTGCATAGACTGATTAGGGCCCAGGTAGTCAGAGCTGTGCTGCACGCATCCGGCCAGACCCTCGCGTGGAGCTTCTGCCGCAAGGGGAGGCAGCGCGGGGTCCCAGCAAGGGCCCCAGGCCCTTCATTAGCCAAATGTCCCCCGAGAAGCGTGCAGACGGGTGACCCTGGTGAGCCCCAGAAGCAGGCAGGCAGACTAGTAGAGCCCTTGGGGAGGTCCCCGGTGCTAGACCCACAGTGTGGCAAGGGGCTCGCTGAGAGGCGGCACTGCTGTGCATGCCGCATGCAGCCAGGAGGGAGGTGGCTGGATAATAAGTGACACTGTTTGCCTGGGTTGAGGACAGCCCAACTAGGCACGGGTCATGCTGGAGCCTGGAGCTCGGGCTGCTCCCCCGCCCCACTCCCCACTTGGTCAGCAGCTTGTTGCCCACCACGCAGCCATGTGCTGCTTAAATCCAGGTATTGGCATGTGTGTGCATGCGTGCGCAGTGGGGGTCAGGTGTTGGCATGTGCATGTGTTAGATATTAGGGGGGTTGCACATGCATGTGTGCGTGAGAGGTATTTGGGAGGGTTGTGTCAGGTACTGGTGTGCGCGCGTGTGGGCGCGCATGTACACATGCACTAGAGGTATTGGGGATGCATGTGTGCACATGTGCTTGAGAGAGGTATGTGTGTGTGTTCATGTCAGGTATTGGGTGTGTGTGCATGCGCACATGCAAAGCAGCTATTGGGGGGTGCAGGTGTGCAGACGCATGAGAGGTATGGCGGGGTGCATGTTTGTGTCAGGTATCATGTGCGTGTGCACACACAGGGGGAGCTTGGACACCCTACATCTCAGCCAGTCACCCCGAGCTCCAGGCATTGAAGATGAGATAACGACTTTCCGGGGCAAGTTTCCCCCCCATACCCAAAACTTCCTTCCTCAGCAGCTGCCGATACCAGGGACTGGGTGCAGGAAGGGGCAGCAGCAGGGTCTGGGTGGGAGGTTCGGTGCTGGGGGCGAAGGTGGGAAGGACAGGGGTAGGCAGCCGGGCTAAGTCATGGGTGTTGGCAAAGACCTGGCGCAGTCGTAACACGTATGGGCCTTTTTACTGATACATTTACATTTCAAAGCAGAACCTGCAAGGGGCGAAACTGGAATAGCTGAGAAGAGGCAGACACTGAACACAAGAGACACGGCATACATGCTGGACATGAAGAGCGTGCCACGGTCACAGCACCAAAAGGGGAGAAGAGGGTGCAGCCCACCTAGAAAAAACCCAGGCAAAGATGAGGCCTGTGGGATCTCCTCTTCACATGCCCAGATCTGCAAATCCCTCAAAGACCTCCCAAATACCCGGCTGCAAGGAGATGCTCTGCCCCCAGAATTACAGATCTATGCAAGGCTACTGTATTTTTTTGGCTAATTACGTTGCATTTTAAGTTAAGTAGTGTTTTAGCTTAGGCTAAACACAGAACAGACTATTCTTGTTTCAGCATTTTATGACTTCGGTGCCACCACCTGAAGTCTAATACTGAAGTCTGGTAACAGGCAGACGGAAGATGAAATAAGACTGGGAGAAACCAAGGGACGAATGGAGGGTGAACAAGCAGCAGGAAGCCAGTGTATAACGGTGACTGGTTTGCACAACTGACATTGCACTAATGAGTTTCGCACATGCTTGTACACGATTTGTGTTGGTGGATTCCTGGCGGGCCTCTCTTGACCCTGGAGAACAGGGGATGAGGCAGCCCCACAGGAAGGTAGGGTTTGGCCAGACGGAGGTGGGAAAGCCAAGGGGCAGCAAACCCACGTCGCAGGATGGCAGCCTGCTGGCTCGCTGACTGCCACACGCTTGGGGTCAGGCCGTCAGTAGAGGAAAAGCTCCTCTTGGTTCACCCAGTGCCCACGTTTTTCAGCTGCAGCGGTAACTCGGAGCATCATTCCACTTCCCCATGGGATGAGGTACAGGGTGGACCCTGCTGAAAGGCATTGAGACGAGACAATGGGGAGGCAGCTGCTGGTCCCAGGCTCTGGCCAGACAGGACTTCCAACCCTGGGAAGATGCCACTCTGGAGCAGACATCAGCCGTTGCCACAACCTACGACATCTGCGTGCAGCTTTTGGGGTATGGATGAACTGCAGGGCTGCAGCTCTACATCATCCCCCTTTCCTGCTGCCTGCGCTTCTGTCGCTACAGGAGCAGACAGACATAACTTGGGAACTGTAATGGCTTACATTGGTATCATTTGATACTGGTATAATGGTTACATCTACCTCCACCCTCAGCAAGAAGCTGGGGTCAGGCCTCGAGATGCCGCCCCGCTAGACCCCTACTCACTTCGTCTCATCTATCATGCCACACAGTTTGATTTCACCCTTTCCATTAAAAGCTGCTGATCTGAAATGTATCAGATGCACTTGAAGTGCCCCCACTGACCCAAATCACTTGGATGACCCCCAGCACATGGGGCAACATGCTCAGCGCTCGCATCCAGTGCGCGCTAGACAAGGCACCGTTGGAAAAGAGCTGTCTGTCTGGGTGAAGCTGACGCCAGCAGATGCAGGCTCTAGCCTCGCACGCGTGGATCCAACTCCCAACAAACTCCGCAGGACTCAGTTTTGTATAAAAAACTTTTTTTTTTTTTTAATTTCACAAAATTGGGTGGCTGCGTTGCAGGAATAAAACCGGCCCTATACATAGGATCAGATGAAAAAGTCACCACGCGGGTTATTTATAGAGGAACACAGCAGTGTGAAGAATTCAGGTACATCGTGAGGAGTTAAAAAAAAAAAAAGTCTCCACCTGGATCCTTTCGATTTGAGGTTGATCGCACTAAAAACAACCTGAGCTTATTCTAAACCAGCCCATGGCCTGAACCAGGACGCCACGCTCATGCCAGGGACGCGGAGGGGACGGGGAACGTTTGGAACGGGTTTCCTCTGGGAAAGGTGGAGGGTGGGGAGGCCCCGAGCACGCTCTCTCTGCTAGGCACTGTGGAGTCTTCGGGCTGGACCATGACCAGTGTTATCCTGCATCCTGGAAGGGACCAGGCTGCAGACATAGATGAGCATGTAGATCCTGGGCCCCAGACACACCTGCGCGTTCAGGGTCTGGGGAGCTCCCTGTGGATGTTCCTAGGGGGATGAGCACATCGGACTTCTTCAAGGCTGATCCTCTTTAGGAAACAAATGGCTCTGGGTGTTTTGTGCCCCTTGGGAAGTCTCTCCCTTTTCCCACAGGTGAAATGCCTTCTGGCCAAGCTTGGGAACACAAGCCCTTTGCATGTGTGACCTCTGCAACCCACCCTTGAAATGCAACACGAGGGACCCTGGGAGTTTTGGCAAGGATGCTCGTCAAGAAAGCTCTCCCGGGAGGCAGAGGGCAGAAGATCCAAGTCACACAGACAGCAAGAGTTTTATGTCCTTCTGCAGTCAGTAATGGCCCACGCAAGAATCTGAGTCTGGCTCTGTCAGCTCGTCTGTGTTGGGGCATTTTGCTTCTCCCCCTCCCCAATCCTTGCTTATGGGCAAGGATCCGGCTGCTGACCCCTTTCTCTCACCACAGCCCTGCAGACAGTGGAATGATAAAGCTCGGCAAGTGGAGGGCAAGGGGTGAGCAGAGGAAAGAGCGGTCTCCTGCCTCTGCACCCACTCCGGAAAGAAATTTAAGAAAAAAAAGGGGAAGTACCGTGTTCACTGAATTCTGCCCACCCGGCTGTCTGCAAGAGGTAGTTGTGGCGTTCACGCCCCAGCCATCCCAGCCCCAACCCATATGCTAGCGCTTCATTGCTACCTACTTTTTTTTTGTTCATTTTTTAAAGGAAAAACAAAACAAAAATGCATATGCTCCAAAAGAGAGGGACTAAAAACCTGTCTTTAATTCCTCAGCTGGCTACTGTACTGAACTACTCAAAGGGACGATGCTGCTACCACCCTTCCCTCCTTCCAATTCAAACACAAAATAAAAGATAAGCTGGAGCAGGAAAGCTCAGGTCAGCGAGTGGTTTTCTTCTAATTGATTCACTCCCAGCTCCACTCGCACTGGATCAATATTTCCTTTAATAAGTTAGCGAGGAGCCCTGGGGCTCAGCTACTGCGCTTAACGATTATCTACCTGTAATGAATGTGGTCAGCAGTCCTGCAGTTCCCGCTGCTGAGCAGTGGAAAGAGGAGCTCCCTCCCTCTCCCACGCCTGCCCAAACTCTGGTTGCTGCTGTTCATCTTGATGCCTCGCTCTTTCCACCTGGAGAACCCAGAACATCAAATGCTGCCACCTGCAACACCTGGCAGCATGGGGACACCCCCCCCTGCTCTGTCAGAGGATCCCAAACGCAGACAGAGTGGAGGCAGCAAGATGAAAGAACCAGAACGGAGCAGTTCCTCCAGGAGAACAGACCAATGCACACAGGCTTCCTGCCAGCAACACGGAGGCACTACTGTCTACTGCTCTACAGCTTCAAAATGAACCCTCCTCAAGGGAGTACAACTAAAGAATGCCAGACTACTAGGGTGCGCGTGTGCGCGTGTGCAGGCAGGCTGACTGGAGGCAAAAAACCCTAAAAGGAACTGAAAAACTGAGGAATCTGTTTTTGGTCACCACTGTCTCGGCTCTGGGCGCTCCGTGCTGCGGGCTCAGTTAGGGGGCTGCGGAGGCCGGCGGTGCTCCCGCGGCAGGGGCGATCACCCCTTCAGCTGGCGGTGGTGGCTGCTGCGATGGAGGGGGATCTGGAAGCAGAGGGAAGAGAAGTGGTGAACACACCGTGAGTTGTGGAAGACAGACGCTTATCGCGTATACAAGCACAGACGCTGCTCTCCAGGGAAACGGGAGGGTCTGTGACCCTTTCTCTGTCTCCGATTAGTGCACCTGCTTTCACGGTCTTTTTTGCCCTCGCAGGTCTGCACTGGCATCAGTGCTCACTTGCGAGGCATGGAAGTATTATCCCCTAGCCAGAGTGAGCAGCAAGCAGACACCAAGATCTCATCCCAACCAGACTAGCACTACCTGCTGTGCTCAGACCGACACATTTCTTGCCTATTTAAAAGCACTTAACTACTTTCATCACTAGAGCCTATCCATACAGGCTCAAGATGTGCAGGCAGCTACAACACACAGGCATCTGTACATGTGGCAGGGAGGGAAACGAAAACAAGGGAGGACACAAAAGGACAGCTTCCGGGCAGAGCAAGTGAGCACAGGGAAAGAGGACGGCGATGGAATAGGACTGGGTTGCTCAATACAGGAAAAGAAGTCAGCAATTGCAGCAAGGCAGAAAAGGCTCGGGATGTCCATTTAGTACAGAGGTGGCAAACCCAGGGGTGGTGGATGTTAACAGGGGAGAAGGACAAGGAGAGAGAGCATCAGAGAAGGAAGGGTGGAAGCAGCACGGGAACGAGAGCTCCCTGCAACAGCAGACCTGAGGAATCACAATCCTTGGCCAGCAGGAACTGTGGGGTCAGGTACCCTGCTACAGCAGCTATTCACTCAGGCTGCCTGCTCAGGGGCATAAATCTGCCAGGCCAGTGGCAGCTCATACGGCCCCTTATCTAGCTCGAGCAAGGGGCCAGGATGACCGGCTCATGACAAGGCAGCAAGAACCCCAGGCTGGTACAAAGCCCGCTTCTTTGGCTTATGGGTAGTTCCAGGGTGCTGGTTTGCTCAAGTGATCTTGGCACAAGGTCTAAAGACTCTGGGGCCAGATCTGCAGCTGGGGAAATGGGGCTTGTGGTTCATCTTCTGTCCAAGGCATGCACATTTGCCCTAGCTGGGGTCCTTTTCATAGTTTCATAGTTGGTCGGGTCGGAAGGGACCTGAGCAGATCATCAAGTCCAACCCCCTGCCATGGCAGGAAAGAGTACTGGGGTCAAACGACCCCGGCAAGGTGATTGTCTAGCCTTGTCTTAAAGACCCCCAGGGTAGGAACCAGCACCACTTCTCTTGGAAGCCGGTTCCAGATCCTAGCCGCCCTGACCGTTAAGTAGCGCCTCCTGATGTCTAGTCTGAACCTCCCCTCTGCCAGCTTGTGACTGCTATTCCTGGTCACTCCTGGTCGTGCTTGGGGGAACAGGGACTTCCCCAATGCCTGCTGTCCCCTCGGACTAGTTTGTAACAGGCCACTAGATCCCCCCTCAGCCTTCTCTTGTGGAGGCTGAATAGGTTCAGGTCCTATTTTTTGCATTAGCTCTTCGGTTTTTCACTTCTTCCTGCAGACAGGTTCCATGGGGTTAGTTTTTCTGAACTGCATTAAAAAAACCCAACAACCTGGGGCCCAATCATCTAGGAATTCAGCTGTAGCTATTTCTCAGACCCCCTTCTGAGAGCTATTTTAGATGAAATGGAAAGTGGTTTTAAAGGCGCTGTACTTGCCATTACAGCCCCTACAAATCAGAAGTGGACAACAGCATGTGGCAGGAATGGGGTGGGAGGACAGGCAGATTTAAATCTTCCACCAGTCCTTTGCAGACATCCCCAAACACACAGCTCCGACAGTCCCCACAGAAACAAAGGGGCACGAATGACAACCAATCACTTTTCTAGTAACCGCAAGACAAGCAACAGGGAAGCCGGGACGCACGTTCAAGCAGAGCTACTTACACATGCCGTTTGGAGCTGCGAGGGGAACGCGAGGTCCGATGATGTTTCCTGACATGGGCGACATGCCCGGGGGTGCAGGGCCGCTGCCTGGTGGGTGGATGTTGGCAGACACGCTTGGCATCATCCGGCCCGGCACGGGCTGCCCAGGTATCATCGCACCGGGTCCTGGCATCTGACCTGTGGAGCGTTACAGAGAGGATACGCTGAAATACTCGTGTGAGCTAAAGAGAAAAGCAGTGGCCTAACCGCTCTCCGGACAGAAAGACGCAGACAGCTTGCACGTTCACAGCCCTCTCCCTGCACTCCAAGTGCCCCCCGTGACCATCGCAGAGGAAAAGCCTCCCCCCTCCTACCTCAACACACTGCTCTCAGGAGGGACCGCAGTAGGCCCAAAAACCACGATAAAACAGTGGCTCCTAAGTGAGCTGATAACTCGATTTGGATGGAGGCCAGGTAAGAAGCAGCTGCTTGTGAACTTTGTGATGGTACAAGGGACTGATTGCATTGGAAAAACCAGGTTTTCAACAGCAAAGCCCTTGGCCACTGGACTAATGGCTTCATTTAATAGCAGGAGGGAAGCCATGCAGCTACAAGTTGCACTGTGCAGTAGTTGCAGTATTAAACCCATTCTGGGGGGGGAGGGGAAGGCCTTCTTAATAAGCCTTCCTTGTGCTAATACCCTTGTGAAAGCAGCTTCTCAAAGATTTACACTTCACAAGCACCAAGATACATTTCGAACTGCAGCTGCAGACACCTACAGCTCTCAGACTGGCTTCTGAAACCACATTTGAAGAGATATTGCTCCATAATCTGATTACATTTATTTTTTGAGGGATCAACACGCACACATTATATAGGCACGGTATCTTAGCCAGGAAAGCAGCTATTAAGACACAAATTGCAGCTACTTGCAATAAAGATTTAATTCCTTCCCACGTCCCAGGTAATTATGTACAATAAAAGGCGATTATAGAAGCCCTTCAAAATAACCGTGCACCTCCGTTGGAAGGAGGAGATTCTCTACTACTGCAGGATGTATACTGAGAAAGAATGGAGGCTATGATAGATGTTACAAGCCAGGAAAACTTACAACTGCATTTAGGACAGAGTCCTTTTGGCACAAGGAGCTACTTCTCAAGCTCCTGCTACAGCCCTGCAACTGGAAGGAGGCTGCAGTGGAGGAGTTTGTCAGCACCTGTAATTCCCTTAATTAAGGGATGAAGAGTGTTAGCACCTGTAACTCTTAATTAAGGGATGAAGAGTATATTTACAGTCTCTCAGATGTGCTGGCACCTTGGACAGCATCACACGCAGCTACACCAGGCTGTTAACACCCCAGGTGTCACCCAGCTCCCCGAAATTCAGCCCTCTCCCTCCTGTGCTGCTCCAAACCCAAGCAGCATGAGGACTGAACCAGGGCTGAACAGAGAAGCATTTGGGAATCAAGTCATGTACAACAATCAACAGAGACTGGGAGGCACCACAGGTACGGAGGGGCTACCTCGCCAACCCCATGGCTCTGCAAGGGCTGCCTTTGCACAAGGACTCTGGAGAAGAAGTCAGTGCCTCTGGTGTTCAACTCTGGATCGGCATGAAACAGCTGCATCTACTGCGAGGTGCAAGAGCTCAGCCATGCTAGGAGGCATTAGCTGTGCTTGTAAGGGAGTCGTCACACTTACCATCACCTCGGCTCCCTCCCCAAGCCCTGAGTCCTGGGACAGAGGGGAAGGGGCTGGGGAGTGAGTGCAGCAGCAGCTCCTGGACAGCAATCAGTACTGACAGAGTCTTTGAAGAGTAACAACATTAGGATGTTACATGAGACACCACCTTGCTTGGGCATTTCAGGGAAGGCACCTGACCAGGTCGCACGTCTTTCAAACCCCCAATAGGGCCTGGACTTGTAGGTGAATGCAGGGCACCAGTCCTGGGTAAACCAACTGGCACCACCAACAGCGCGGCTACTTGAAGAGCCGGACTAGGCTTGGGGAATCCAGGCAGGTAGCTGCTTGCTCTGTGCAATCCCCAAGGCAGTCTGCATCTGCTGCTCAGTGGCAGAGGTACCCAATCCCATTAGCTGGAGTGCACAGAAGAGGAGGATTAAGGTAACCTAACGCCATAATTAGAGAAAGGCAGTTAGCCCTGTTAGTCTGAAGTCAGGCAGGAGGCAGGGCAGAGCAGAGCCGCACCCGACAGACTAACTAATCCCAAGATGCATAAGCTTTTGTAAGCGACTGCGCACTTCCATGTCCTTTGCTGTACTTACGAAAGCTATGGATCTCCAAATTAGCCCGTAAGGTGCAGCTCTGCTCTGCTTAATGCCACAATGACCAAGTTCTCTAACAAGCCTGCAACATGCTGCAAGTCAAGCTATCCAGTCACTTGAGCAGAGCTAACTGCAGCAAAACAGGGTTTTGGGAAGGTGCTTTTTAAAAAATGTTAATAAGGGGAAACACAACAAGAACCTTTTTGGAGACGGACACAGGAGAGCAAGTTGCAAATGCACTTGCACATGTACTGCACAAAGCTTGTGGCCAGTGGCCTGTCATAAGCATCTCTGACACTTTCCTTGCTAAGTGTGAAAGAGCAGCAGCAGCTGACCAGAGAAGGCCACGTAGGGTCAAGACTCCTCCCTTCCAAAATCAGCGAAACAGCCTCCACGCCGGTGATCACACGCAGGTGGATGCGACAGACCACGGCCTGGACCCCCTGCTTCCCACACGGCAAACGAAATGGCAGACTCCTTAAGGACTCTTCCCACTGGATTCAGCAGTCTGCCAAGCCGCTGAGTACGGTACGCACCATACAGGTGAGTAAGACCCATAGCGCCAGAGCTGTAGATGTCCACAGAGAGGAAACCGGATTTCGGACGAATTCAGCTGGAAGGTGCCCAGCTTGGCTCAACCCCCCCACCCGGAGTAGCAAGCAGACGGCAGGAGCAATGAAGCGTTCCTCAGCTTGGAGCACAGAGGACTTAAGCAGACACAGCATGAATTTACTGCCGCTGGCATCCGCGTGTCCGTTTTGGGCCAGCTCATTCATTAGAGATGAGAAGCAGGCAGCAAGGGCAAGGCCGAACACGGCAGGCAGCGTGAGAACACGCCACCACCGAGGGCTGCAGCCAGTCAGGGATCGAGGCTTAGAGACACGGCAAGCCATTAGCATTAGAAATGGGTCATGACTTAACAGGATCCACTGCCAGTCAGAGGTAAGGGAAAGCTCCAGAGCATCCTTGGGTTCGAGAGCCCCCTCTCTCCCATCCTCTGGGAGCTTGTGGCTCCGAACAGGTGAAAACGGCAGGAAGAAGTGAAGCAAACGCCTCCTTCTCCCTTCTGCAAGGCAGCCTACGTGCCTCGCAGATCAATTTAACCGGCACGTGTGAGCTCGGCTGTACCTTTTCCCCATCCCCCAAGCCCCTGCTGCTCGCAGGTGTGGGAACGCACCTGGGCCTTGGAGCAAAGCCCGTGCGAGACTGCGAGCACTGAGGTAAGCCGAGGTCAGTTGGTCAGTGCCGGGCGCCAGGATTCTCCGCTGATTTGCATGAGACAGATGTGGGAACTGCCTTGCATCAAGAGGCTAAAAAGGTCACTGCACGCAAACGGCTGCAGAGAGCAGCTTGGATTACAGCGGTGGGAAGAACCGAAGAAATGCTGAGAGCGCGAGACAAGCAGCCGGGGACGTTTTCCAATCCTGCTGGGAGAAGAGGGTGCGAGGCTGAGCCACTGACTGAAATAGCTGGGCTCTTCCCCTCCCTTACTCCGCAGCCTGCTGTTCCTAGGGCTGCAGCTGCCGTTCCTCTGCTCCGTTTACCTGTTCCCCTCCACCATCTTGACAGCAATAAGCCCTCCAGGAGCAGCCTGCAGCTTCAGGGGCTGCCTTTGCCAATGCAGCTAATTCCCTGAAACCCAACACAGGAACACACAGGTGGAAACAGTCATGCTCAAGTTTCCTCTGCCATGCACAAACACAAGTAATGGTTTTTAGTCTATCCTGACATATCCCACATTCCCGTGAAGCTTGGGACCTTTGCCGTTGAGGGCAGGACATGTCCCTTTTTAGCAAAAGACCAATGGAAGGATCTACACGTGCAATCAAAGTCCAGATGAGTCTTGAAAAGGGGGAGAAGCCTCTGCCCTGAGTATTATGAGTCATGTTAGGCACTGGGGCAGCGTGCCAGCCATTCACTCTGGATAGCGGGGTCCAAATCTGGATTAGCTCACAAGTGAAACAAGCTGTGCGCATGCATGCCTCGCAGTCTGGCACGCAGGTGGTGGTAGCTCACAACCTGGGCATGCAGGGAGTCTGGGCAGGTCAGGTCTGAAGGGCCTGTGCAGAGCCAGCAAGGCGTGTGGCTCAAGCCAGTGCACGCACTCTCACTCTCTTCTTTTTTTAATGACTGGTCAGTAGTCAGATCAGCGCCACCACAGCCCCGACTAAGCATCCTGTGTCCAATACAAAGGCACACGTGCCTGACGCAGCTGGAGAAAGCTGGTCAGAGAAGCGGCAAACAAGGCTGCCGTCGTTGGAGGGGTGAAAGCACAGGAAACAACCTTGTGCCAAGGTAAGAAACAGGAGGAGGAGGACTGAAGTTGCGGGGGGCCTTTGTCGGACAGGAAGTTTGTCTCAGAGGTGATGGAAAAGAGGGGAGTGACAAGCCAGGAAGAGGATTTTAGCAGCAATTTGAGGGGACCTGAGGGGATGCGACTGCAGGTGCCGAGCCCTGGGAGAAGGAGATGCCAAAGCAAGACGGTCAGGGAGGATATGAGAGAGGATCCTGGAAATGGGATGCAGGAAGAAACACCAGCGTTTAGACCTGTGCTTCTCAACCAGGGGAGAGCACCTGGTTGGAGGCAGCAGAACCTGGTGGAGAAGCAGAGGTAAGCTGAGGCAGCACCAACAGCGGCTCTCAACCAGGCTGCCTCCACACTCAGAACAGTGACAGAGAGGTGCCCGGGTCTTGGGAGGTTGAGAACCACTGGTTTAGACCACGGCTGTGGGTTAGAGAGAACAAAGTCAAGGGCAAACTTCAGATGTGAGCAATTCCACTGGCCTGGAAAAGGAGGAGGAGGAGGGGACAGGCACCCAGCTGGAGACCGGCATTTGCCACGGAAGCAGAAGATTGTTGCCAACAGTGCTCATCTTGATACCAATCAGTGCCATGTATTTCTATCCTGATTAGC